ACGAAGGCGTTTTGTTTCAGAGGAGGATTAAGTTTCGGCCTCCATTGGCAAATTTCGAAGCCACAACGCGTCTTGATAGTTTATTGCACGTTAATTTCGTTATGGTGAGGGAAGCGTGCCATATATCCAGACTAGGCTAGTCCAATAGACTCCAGTCCAGTCAGTATTAACCGGACGGCAGGGGGCGAGTAAAGTCACGCCCAAAATATGCCACGTGTCTAACTCCCTAACAGGACTAGCGCAGGCCATCGCAGCGCCTGTTAGGCGTCCGGATAGCCTTTGGCATACCAAACGAACTCAGGTATCTTATCTGTTCTGTAAGTATGTCTCTGAAGATGAATCCGCAACGGATTTCGAAACGTCAGACGAATAAACATATTGTCCCAGCGATCGAGTCGTCTTCTACTTCTCAATTACTTCCTGGGACTCGCATCTTCGCTTGTATTAGCAAACGTGACTGTGTTAAATTAGTTACAAACAGAAGGCCCTAACTGACGTAATGAGTGTTATACCGCCCATCAGAGTTCCCGCATTCGAGTTTGGCCTTGTTAATTATCCTTTGACGAGGTAAGGATGACTTACCTTAGGACATGAACACGGGGATCATCCGCAATACAGTCGTCTTTGTGCAACATTCAGGAGGAAGTAGCGCTATCTTTAGGGTGTGATTAGGGTTAAGATTATGGCTACGGTTTGCGTTCATATTAAGGCTATTTTTAGAATACTTATTCTTCTAGAAATTATGCACAGAAACACCTTTGTCCTGTTTGGGGAGTCATATAAGTAATCCTTACCCTTTATGAAGTTTATCAGTTGGTATTGGGATTAAAACCTTTGTTAAGTGTAAAAGACAATTGAGTCTAAAAGGCACTGCTTTGTGTTACTCTTTGTCTGAAAAAGGAGTTCTTTTTAATGAATCTTTGCTCCTCCTTCCAGGCTGCCGGGGGTTCCTCGTTGGTTCAGCAGCAACAGCAACAACAGAAGCTGCTGGCTCTTCATGCCCTTAGTGCGGCTGCTGCTGCCCAACAACAACAGCAACAACTGCTACAACAGCAGCAAGCGCAGAAGCAGCAACTGGGGGTTTCCACTTCGTCCGCCGACATGATGGTTGCACTGAATTCTGCCGCCATCCAACAGCAGCAACAACAACAGGCGGCAGCTGTGCAAGCACTCTATCAGAATCAGCAACAGGCAGCCTTGGAGGCCCTAGTGTTACAGAATCAACAGGCCAACCTTCTTAAGCGCTTTTTGAGACTACCGTAATCTGTGTGGTTTGTGGTAGCCTCCTCTGTACATATATGCATATACATCCATTTCGAAATTTCCTTTTATTTTTTTCTCTTTAATATGGCCTATGCCTTAACCTCCCCTCTCCTCTGCTCCTGTTCTTTCCGTGCGCGCCAGCGCGCGTTTACGTTTGTCTCCTTCATATTTGATCAAAATTAAAATTTGCCCGGTGCATTTGTATTCTAGATAGAATCTATGCCAGCTGTTAGAGGGGCTTTCTTCGACTTTCCTGGCAGATATTTTGCGATGAAATTGGTTTATTTTTATTCTCTGAGAGGGCGCATCGTCTCCTAGGTACTTGTATGTTTAGATTTTCGGACCGTTAAGACCGGGTCCGGAATAACTGGATGCTGGAATCAGTCGTCGACGCCCTCTTGTGGCGTCCTTTTTAGCCGTTCTTGTGTACTAGCCGTCAGATTACAGGATGCACTTGTGGCGTCGGTACTGCATAGCCCAAGTCCGAGGAAGTTAATAATGTTCTCATGCACTGGCGCATGTTTCAATTTGCTCGTGAAGGTTCTCAGATTGTCCATACATAGCAGTCATTTCTGAGGGTCAATCTACCTGCATGAGGTAATCCTGAATAATTTTAAAGGCATCAGATTGAGATGGCACAGTAGCCCGAATAAGGGTGCTCTACTTCCTGGTGCCGAACATGTCTTAACAGAAACCGGCATCTAATCACTTTGCTAAATAACTATCCTAGGGGCTATTTTAACATGATATGTCCAACTACACAGTAACATCGAGTAAGTTTCGTGACCGTCTGTGCATACTTGAGACACATGATCGTCATCATAAATAATAACTGAGTATTTGTGCCAAGGGGAAGGGCGCCACGTGCAGTGCCACAGGGCAGAGGCCCGAAGATTTCGAGCACGATATTGAGATTTACCGGTTTATATCGGTAGGCAACCTTCAAATCATCAGCATGCACGAAGAGTCAATCGCACTTCCCTGAACAAATCCACTCTATGCGTACAGGATTGAAGATAACACCGGAGATCTTAAACCGCTTTGTGCGAGAGTCCAGAGCGGAAGATATTGAATCAAGTTTACCACATATAGAACGAGGAAAGATTCGAGAGAAGTAGGCAGTGGTCATCTCGATCAAAAGCCTTAATGAAACTCAAATAGACTGTAAAGCATGAAATCTTTGCCCTTATGTTGTAGGATGCGATCGGAAAAGGGCTGGCAGGTACCACAAGACCTTGTTTTCTGAAGTCCTTGCTGAGCGTCACTCCATGGGTGGTCGGTGAGGTTTCATCCACCAATGTCAATATTCCTATTTGAAACCGACAGGACAACGTGCCTGGGTTTAAATATCTAGAACGTCAGACTGCTAAGCAGCAGGTCACGGGTTCAAGCCTCGAGTGGTTCCCAACCGGGATTTGGGTTTGGTTGGTTGATGACGGCCGAAGTGGCCATTTCAGTCTCCCTTCCCTTCGTCGATAATGTTCAGATCCAAATACGCTCAGGACTGTTTGTTCGATCATTTTTCCTAGCACTACGGTGTATCGGCCGTCCCCGGGCTTCCCACGTGCGCGTTTCGGCTTGATGCCATGAGCAAGCCCGTGAAGACAGACCTGAGATGTTGGTTATGTAGATTAAATTATGTTTAACTTTGTGGTGATTGATGCAGCGATAGTAGATAACTTTTTACTTCCGCCTAGCCATGGATTTTTTACATCGTCAATCAATTCCTGTGCATTATGACCATGGAGTAATAAGTTGGAATCACTCGCCACCGACTACATTCTTATAAGGAGGGTCTCGCGTATACAGAATTGGACGAGGCGTGACATCACTGTGAGTTACGGTCTGTATGATCGAATGACCTGCGGAGCAAATGTTTTGACAAAACCGACTTACGTTTCGTTCCGGGAGTAGCTGAAATCAAGTCTGTCGGACAGCCTGTTACCTGCACCTTTATGTATACCCCAAGTCCCCTACTTTCTATGGTATATTCTCCCTGTTCTTCATAACAGTCAGCAGCCGTAGCAAATCCAATTATCGGAATTCCATCGTTCCGATAATGTTCTGTGAGTTTCTCTAGAAACGAGTAATTTGGACAACAGTAGTTCCATTTTTTACGTTTATCCAGGATGTTTGGCGCCTTCTACTGATAACGTCCGCATGCTCTTGAAATAACTGAGGCTTTCGCGTCAACTGTTCATTTAATCAATAAAGTGATATATTTCATTGGCTTGCGTCTACCAACTGATAATAAGCACGCCTATAATATGGCGCCATTCCGGGAAGGGGTAGACGTCCGTGTAGTCCGTAACGAAGGTTGTTTATTAAATACACATTAACGAGAGGGTGGCGCCAGACCGCTGGCAGGTTGCCCTTCGGCGATCCGGCTCATGCTTGCGATTTCATCGACCTTTATTTATCGGTATGACGTTCTTAGCACACTATGGTCCATGTTTAGGGATGAAGTAATAGTCGGGCCTTCGAACAGCGGCTAGTTCTAATGGAATGTTAACTTGTGCGGAAGCGTTCACAATGTTCCAGGTGTGTAGGGTCTAGGCTAAACGAAAACGGGTACGGCTACTGATGCACAGGTGTTAGTGGCTTTTCTGATTTTGGCCTGTTCTAGTCTCTTGGCTGTCTTTGTATGTGGGGAGCATGGCGGGGACACCGACGAATTTGTTTTTCGATGGAGTCGCGTCAATTGTGTCTGCAGATTCGGGCGCATGTGCCCTCGTTTAGGTCCGCCCGATGTCGGGATCTCCTCCGTTCGCTTTGAACGTGTTGCACAGGGGCGGCTCTATTCGTCTATTGGAAAAAAAACTGATTTTGGAGTTCTCCCGTAGCATAATGCATATTAATAAAAAGTTTAGTTCTGTCGTACTTTATAGCATAGGAATTTTCTTCGATATAAACTTACTCGAAATTTGGCCAAAATTAGTGCCCTTTTCGCCCCATAACCTTAACGACGAGGCCCTTTCAGATGACCAAATTCACTCAGTTGATCAAAATAATCTGGCCAAATATTTGCTAAACTACTGAGTTTAATTTCGTTATGAAAGTTGCATGCAAGACTCACCATACTAATATATATAAAGAAGTAGGACATACGCAAGACTGCTGGGCTTCTCTGATGATGCAGCTGCCATAAAATCCCGCTACGTGGTTTTGCGCTGGGGGTCTGTGCAATTTCTGCTGCAGAATAGGTTTGTGCGATTGTGGTCCATAATCTATCAGGCTGCGGGAGTTAGTCACATGGATTAGATATGCGCAAGTCTAAATGCAGAGAATGTCACCAAGATCCGTCTGGCCGAATGTATAATGTCGTTTCTAAGTAACTTGCAAACCTGATGAATTGGAGAGCCGGATTCGATAACAAGTGGTTCTTTTTCTGCTTATTCCATCAGTAGAACGTTGTTAAATTTCAGAGAGTTGATATGACCACTGCCCGACTTCTGTGGCTGTGTTGGATGCAATTGATTATTTTAAGCTTGTATGTGGTCTCCAGAGTGCTATGTAGGTATCTGATCATTGTCATATTATATTTCATATAACGACTCAGTACGGTCCGCACCAGTTCATGGAATGACAGTACAGTCTTAAGAGCACGACAATTGAATATCGTAGGGACCGTGGCCTCCCTAACCAACAGGAAACGTCAATCATAGACTCTTAGCGCAGCGGCCGCTGTGGATGGAAACCGAAAACCTTCCGGTTGTTTCATTTTAAAACTGATCTTGGATATTGATGTGTACCATGTTAAATTTCTGAAGTAGCTCTTATTCAATTTATATCGGATTACATATCGCAGCGTGGAGATACGTGGTTATGGCACTCCTACATACCGTGCCAGACCAGTAACATGGCTATTTGCAACTTCACTAAGCGGTCACTTTGAAGCCCTCAATTCTTAGCCTTTGGCACTGAAGCAGCAATCCAATTCCTAGAATAACTGGAGGTGCTGCAGTCAGCATTGCGTAAGGTATGCGTTTCCCCTAACCAAGCTGCGTGATAGATGCGTTGGCCTTATACGGAGGTTAGATCTGGGTACAGCGGGCGTTATTCGGGTTGCACTCCCATAACAAATGCCGGACATGGGGGTGTGGTGGCACGCGTAGGTGCAGGTTCACGCCACGCCAGTCACCTGCGCCCTATCCTGGCTAGGTCTCTCCGGGCCCGCACCAGCTCGTACTACCACGCTCTTTAGTCGACAACAAGCACCTGACCAGGATTTTAACACGACGTCGAAAGCATGGAAGCGGCGGCCCGGACCCCAGCTCACACAGCCT